AGTTTTCTTTTTTCTTGCTTTCTTTAAAAATTTATAATTGATCACACTTTTCGATAAGTTGAAACTTGAAAAAAACTTTACCTCCACAATGCCTTTGAAAAATTAAATGATCTTACTTTGATGTTTAAATTTGTTGGTAAAGTTTTGTTGTAAAATAGAAAGTAGTGGTTAACTTTGCCACATAACAAAGACAAAACTCTTTTCGAAAAAACAGAAGTTGGAGTAATTCCATTTTGAACCAGGACTAAATCTAACAAATTTTTTTCAGCTTTATACTAAAACCTGTCTAAAATCATTTTAGTTTACAGTGCTAAGTTATTCGTGAAAAACAACTTTTACAGTTTTGAATGGTTCAGTATATTGTCTTAACATGTCGTTAATGAGTTTTTGATTCTACTTCTTCATTAATAGTCTTTTTTTTCAGTATTATTTCAATATTTATATATAGAAGATAAAGAATTATTAACTAGATTAAACTCAGTAGAGTCCCAAGTACAATTTAAAGATTTTAATTTAAAAAGGCCAAAACGTTCCTAGCAGAATAGAGCATAACTGGTTTTACAAAGCCTTTTTGATTTCACCGTAAAAAATCGGATTTTTTGGCTTGACAGTTTTATCTGCAGAAGATCACTAGGGACGATAAGCTGATTGCAGTGATGCCGTGTCAGTTTCGCTGCTTGCGTGAAACCACAATTTAGCTTTTGATTACAGTATACTGTCATCAAAAAAGAACTAAGCTTCCAGAAGAATTGTAATCTGTGTGAAAAATCAGTCATTTTAAGATAAATTTAATTTAACGGCATTAATTTGTGTACTACAAAATTTTGAAAAATCATACTACACTTCAGCTCCTTACGATGTGATAGCATCAACCATCTGTTTAAGCTACTTTTCTAACATTGTCTACCAAAACCCTAAATCAACCAGTGATAGTTTAAGTATCAAAAAGTTTTTCAGACGTTTAAATAGACACAGGTCTAAAAATTGTGACATAAAAAAAAGCAAAACAAGTGGTTTTGTTGTACATATTGAAGTTTCCTTTATTCTGTTTAAAACTGTCTACAGTATAAGCAGTTTCTAACCAAGAGTTTTTTGCCAATTCAACAGAGCTACCTGACCTATTCAAAAAAAAAAAACTAGAGGCACTGCCTTAATAATGGGAAGATGAAAAGTTTGATGTGATGTATGTATCGTATTTACTTTGCTTCAATTAATTTATTACGTAAAACAGCAAGATTTTAAAAAACAGCAAAATATGTTTGGTTCTTGGTTCCCACAATAATGTTCTTCAAACTAAAAAAAAACACTTCTGACAGCACATTTTCGCGTTGAAAACCTCCCTACTATATTTATTTTGATACCTTACTCAAAATTAAAAGGAAACTTGTTCTATTTAGTTGCTTGGAAACAGATCTGAAACGATTAGAATTGACTTAGTCAAGTTCGAGTAACGAGTGAGTACACAACTCTCAAGGTTCCGATTGAAACCAGACTAAATTATCTTTCTAATGTTAGAAACCAGAAATTTTGTAAGCTTTTATTGCGCAAAACCTTGTTTATAAAAAGGATTGACCTGTTTTGCCAGATCTTCCTTTTCGAAAACCCAGTTTAATGAAGAATTTATTAATAGACTATATATTCAACAATTGAGCTCACGAAGCAAGCAAATTGGTTGGGATGTTACGCTAAAATGGCTTTAAGAGTTCAAAAAAATAAGAAAAAAATTCAAGTGGTAACGTACTAAGAGTGCGGAAAAGAATCCAAAATAGTTTTGCCAAAAAAAGCGCCATAAGATACCAACAGTGAGAAATGCTTAGATCTACAAATCCAAAACTGCTAAAGAAGTAAACAGACAATAAAAAACTCCCTCAGATGCCCATATTTACAGCAAAAAAACCATATCACAGAATCAGAATATAATAAATGATTGTACTTTACAAAGTGCAGTTTGGTCATTTCGATTCAAGAAACAAGCAACTTTTTTTAACAAATAAATCTACTCCTAATTAAACTAGACTTCTACACAACTGAACCTGAAATTTAAATTCGTTTAAGACTGCTGTGATGATACATCACTGTCGAGCAGTTGAGCAAATAAATGTTCCCGTCGAATCAAGTTTAGCAAAACAAAAACAAAATAAAACATTCAAGAAAAAATAAAGTCTTTACAAAAAAAAATATTGATTTACAGTAACACGTTTCAAAAACAATAAGAAAATAATTCAGAATACAAAAAAACAAACCCGCATTAGCCAAACTAAGGTAAAATAGACAACTGAGCAGAAAAGGGACTATGAGACAAAGTTGAAGAAAGCCAGAACAGAAAAGGCTTGGTTAGCCACAAAACGCAGGCAGTCCACTGCATACCCATCAACCCGAAGTTCATCAGTATCGTTCTTCAAATCGTCAATTAAGGGCTTTGACTCTGTCTGATACAACGTATTTATCAGGTCATAACTTGCACCCAACGCCCAAGAAACCTCCATATCACGAAGTCGTTTGGCCAACTAAAAAAGAATTATTTCCTTGTCTCTGATAACAATAAAAAATCGTCTATAAGAAACCAATAACATTTCTGAGTTGCCCAAAATCACCGAATCTTTGCCAGAAAAAGTGAAGTCACGCTGTTGCCCAGCACATAAATGAATTCTACAAAGCATTATTTAAAACCCTTACATAAATCTCTTTTTCATTCTTCAAACCATAGCCATAGTGAAGTAGTGAATAAATATAGGACAGGTCTAAGCATTTCCACGCTTCCGAGTACTTCACACCTATATCGCTACCTTTTCTTGAACAAGCTAAAAAGCAATAGCTGACAGAAAAAATAGTGAAATATATCAACAGTTATACCACTATCGTTATAAGCGCAAAACCTAATAACCTTCCTCGTTTGCTAACAATTTTGGATGCATGTTGAGGCGTCACGAAAAGCAAGTGCGATAGGCGAAGCAAATCAAACAGCTATTCACTACCACTAACTACTACTGTATATTCAAATCCGTAACACAAATTTGAAAATATTACAGTTATTTGGCTTCCATTCTTTTTATGCCACCAGTCACTTATTTTCCTGACAACAAGAAATATTAAAATAAGAAGACCTAAAAATGAGTGAATAAGTGAAATAACTAAAATTTCCACACGTAACCTACCACGTTTTGCAGCCCTCATATAGTCTCCAACAGTTATGGAACCACCACGGCTATCTGTTGCCCGTGGAACAAGCTGAGCTTGTAAGCCTCGATCGTAAAAGTACGAAAATGCATAAATGTCGTGATGAGTTAGCTCAGGTACTACTCTTATGCCAGTTTTTTCTACGTAAAGTTTAGTGGAATTTAGGCAGCCTTCAAACGATGATGCATAACCTCTAAACAACAAAGCGAGTAAGTGATTCAAAAGTAAAAAAATAAAAGTCCTCTACGCTATCATCATTCAGTAATCTTCACTTAAGCAGAATAAAAATTACTAAAACATTTCCTTGACGTAACCTTAGAAACTGACTTTAAAAAACTTACTGAACACTCCATTTTCTCCCGGAATAGTCTAGAGATTCGACCATATAACCAGTTGGGAAACAAGACGAAAGATAATGCCCACTTTCCAAGCTTTGAAGCTCTTTTGTTATGCCATGACGAGCCGCAATCAAACCGTTACTCAGATAACTAAAAGGAAGTATTTTCAAGTAAAACAAACAAAAGAATCTTTTGCTGAATTTTCATTGAAGCACTAAAAATTCAAAAAAAAAA